ATAATTGACATACAGCATAATTGACATAAGTTGAAGGTGTAGAACATAATGATTTGATTTACATATATTATGAATTGATTATCACAGTAAGTTTAGTAAACATCTATACAACATTACAAGAAAATGTGTTTCTATTTTTTAATGAAAATTCAGGATTTACACTCTTAATTTTCATATATAACATACAGCCATGTTAATTATATTCACAGTGTTATACACCTCAAGTACTTACAACTGGAAATTTTTACCTTATGACTATCTTCATCCACTCTCTCCATCTTCTCCCCACCCTCCAATTCCCCAGCACTGGTAGGGGAGGTTGTTCTCTGAGTTTGTCTGTTTTTCTTTTTTTTAAATTGAAGTGTAGTCAGTTACAGTATGTCAATCACTAGTGCACAGCATAATATCCCAGTCATACATATACACACATATGTTCGTTTTCATAGTCCTTTTTGTTAAAGGTTATTACAAGATATTGAATATAGTTTCCTGTGCTATACAGAAGAAATGTTTTTTATCCATTTTTATATATTATGGTTAGTATTTGCAAATCTCGAACTCCCAAATTTATCCCTTCCCACCCCCTTTCTAGATACTAGTCCTTTATTAGATACATGGTTTGGAAATATACCTTCTCTAATTTGAAGGGTGTTTCTTCAGCCTTTAAATATGGACTTCCATGGAGCAAAATATTTTCATTTTGATGAAATCAAATTTATCAGGTTTTCTTTTTTATTGACTGTCTTTTTAATGTCAACTCTGAGACATGGTGTGTAGGCCTAGCTCTCAAAGATTATTTCTTGTATAAATTTTATAGTTTGTAATTTACATGTAACTCTATTCACTTTCGGTTAATATTTCAAAAATTTTAGATTTACATAAAGGTTTATTTTTTGCCTATGAATATCTTATTGCTCCAGTTGAAAAGGCTATCCTTCTATTGAATTACCTGTACATCTGTATCAAAAATTAGTTGAGCATCATTGCATGGTTCTATTTTTATTGCTTTATTGATCTTTGTCTATTTCTTTAGCAATACCACACATTTCTTAGTATTTTAACTATATAGAGAGTGTTAATATTAAAGTGAAAGATTTTTTTCCACTCTTCTTGTCATCAAGATGGATTTAGCTATTCTAGGCCATGTGGCCATGCAAAAATTCTTAGTGGTATTTTCAGAGGAGTATTATTAAATCTAAAGATCAGTTTAGGAAGGATTGACATCTTTACTATGTTAAGTTTCCCAATCCATGTTTGTCTAACTTGATTTATCAGATTTGTAGTTATCAGCATGAGTTTTATGTATATTTTAAGTATATATTTCATTTTCTTTGAAGCAACTAAATGGTATTGATTTTAATTTTTATTTTGTCATGTTCATTGTTAGTATATAAAAATATGATTGATTTTAGTCCTTTGATCTTTACCCTGAAAACTTCCTGAACTCATTTTTTAGGGTTTTGTTTGTTTGTTTTGTAAAGTCTACAAAATGGAGATAATCATGACTTCTGCAAATAGTGGTAGTTTTATATCTTCCTTTCCAGTCTATATATCTTTTATTTCTTTTTCTTGCCCCATTTCACTGACTAGACCCTCCAGCACTTGGCTGAATAAAAGCATAAGCTAAGATCAGACATCCTTGACATTTCCTGATGTTGCTAGAATAGCATTCACTCTAGAATTAAGTATAGTATTAACTGTAGGGTTTTTGTTGATGTCCTGAATCAAGTAAAGAATGTTCTCTTCTAGTCCTAATTTTATTATATATATTTTTCTCATTAATGTATGTTGAATGATGTAAAATGATGTTTCTATATCACATGATATAATCACATGCAGTTTCTTCTGAAGCTTGTTGACACAGAAGGTTACTTTGATTTTAAAATGTTCTAACAGCTTTGCATATTAGGAATAATTCCAATTTGGCTGTGGTGTATGTACAATTTAATGTTTCTGAACTCCATTTGATTATATTTTGTTAAGGTATTTTGTTTCTATATTCATAAAAGATACTATTCTATAGTTTTCCTTTTTTTTTAGTTCTGTGATTGCATGGTTTTGATTTTAGGTTAATATTGTCCTAATGAAATGAGTCAGAAATGTATTCCCTTTATCTTCTATATTTTGGAAGGGGATTGTGTAAAATTGCTGTTAATTTTTCTTTAAATTGTCTTTGAATACTCTGGCATAGGAGATGTCCATTTTTGGATGAGGGGAATTTTAAATTACAAGTTCGATTTCTTTGATGGTTATAGGCCCATTCAAATTTTTCTGTTTCAATAAGTTAGATAAGTTGTGTTTGAGGAATTGTTCCTTTCCTTCTAAGTTGTCTATTTTTAATACAAAGTTCATAATATCTCTTTTTTTTCTTCTATCTTTTTAGTAGCTTCAAGATACGTAGTAATGCTTGGCTCTTTTACTCCTGAAGTTGGAAATTGTGTCTTATGTTTTTTTATTTTTGGCAGTCTTGCTGGAAGTTTATCTTGTTTTTCTTAAAGAGCTTTGCGTATCATTGATCTTTCTGTATTATTTTCTTTTATATTGTACTTATTTTTTATCTTATTTTTAAATGATTATTATTTATTTCCTATCTTTTTTTCCAGTTCATTTTACTTCTCTTTGCTTGGACTCTTGGTCAGTAACTTCCATTTATCCTTGAGACTTTTTCTCATTTTTAATGTAATCATACAGAAATTTTACTCTAAGTTCTTCCTCAGGGACATCCAACATTTGAAATGCTGTGTTTAAATTTTTCTAAATACACTCACTTCTGTGCATATTTCCATTATAGTTTTACAA